CTCTCTCTCTCTCTCTCTCTCTCTCTCTCTCTCTCTCTCTCTCTCTCTCTCATGCACAGACAAGCGTGCACACTCTTTGTGTGGCTGTGTGAACTACACAAGTGGCCACGATGCATTTGCCTGCATGCGTGCGTGCATTTGCGTGTCTGTTTGTGTGTGTGCTTGCGCGGGCGGGCGTCCATGTGAGTGTGTGTTGTCTCGTTCACGTCTGTGCAAGTGCATGTTCCCTTGCCCACTATTCAAAAAAGAAAACTATGCCCCTCATGGGACCGATTTTTCCCCAGGCTGGCAGCCCTACGATGGGCCCTCTTTTCAATGGCCGCGACGATCCAGGCCGCACGCGGTCCTACCGGGCCGATGGCTTGGATCTACCACAATCTTAAGACTTTGAACTACAAGTACACCCGCACCTGATTTAAACGAACCTGAATTTCACTGCGCACCGAGTTTTGCCGAGCCTGGGCGAGTATGCCCTCAGCGAGGGCGTTTACAGCTCCGCGTTCATCACGGACGTTACTTTCAGAATGAAAAGCAAAAACAAAAAGCAACAACAATATGGACGTGAAACCGGTTAGATACAGAATCTGAGTATATGCCCTCTTTGACAAGGTGTCAGAAGTCCTTGCAGTGCTCCCTGCCTCGCTGGCAGGGAGCCGAAAAGAAAAAAAGAAAAGACAAAACAACAAAAAATACAAAACCTAATACAAGCCATAGGCGCGGTTAGATTCATTCCTCAATGTTCTAGTGTGAGCACACCTCCTTCAGGCCTTCCCCGACGTCGTTCCTCGATTTGCAGGGTTTTTTTTTCCCTTGTGCCGACCCTGGCCCGACCCCCGATCTTTTCAGAATGAGTCGTTTTCAATGAATTTCTTTTGCCTGGGCGGTGTACTTGTGGTTTAAGATCGAGCGACGATCCTGGCCGTCCGGCAGGGCAGCCATCCCGGATCGTCACTCGATCTTAAAGTCTTCAAGTCTTAAGATTGCATGGAAATCCGGACCGTCGGGCCGGTAGGACCGGTGGCGGCCCGGATCGCCCAATTCTCACGTTAGCGATTTCTAGAAGTGTAGGGATTCAGGAGGTCATGGGTTCAATTCCCAACATCGTCAGTCAGATTCGATGCAGCCCCTGGGGCGCACTCTGGGTTCACCAGCTGAGATAGTTGGCTTGGCCCCCCAGGCTGATCTTGGTAGGGGCCCTTCCCTTCCATCCTTCACCGGGCATCAGACTGCGACAGAGAAGACTATGGCTAGCAGGAAAAGCTTGTAGACCAACCAATCCAAAAGCCTTTTGCTAGGTAGTGTGAGGTTCAAAAACAAACACAAAAAAGTTATAAAACGCTATATTCTTCTCTCAAATTCTTTGTTTTATTAGCCTTAGAAGCAGTGTGAGGTATATTGAGAGAATAGTATAGCTTAGTTTGATTTCCCCCCAAAAAAAAACAAAAAGCAATTCCATCCCTCTAAGACCCCTCTTTCATGCTGTATACATACCTTGCTCCCAGGCCTTTCAACCCCGTGATGGCTTTTCCTCTTGCTCGACAAGCTTCCTTCTGAAGTGGACGTCGGTGGCCTCATCTTCCGATTATGGCCAGTATCAACAAAGGGCCTTCCCAAGCTCAAGGGCACAGCCTCTCTGGAGGTATCATCTCTGTCATCTCGATCGCTATACCAACACACACAAGACCATCCATTAGCGGAACAGATGACAGCCGAGCAACAGAGTAATTCAACAAAATTGACATAACAGATAAGCATACCAAATCAGTGTCACAACTAGGCCTACGAAATGCGGCTAATCAACATCGCAGCCAGGCGAACTCACTGTGCCAAATCAGACTCGTGAAAAGTGGTGGGTGTGAAGCAACTCATACTATTCGATAATTTTACTAAATTTTTACTTCCTCACTAGGTAGGCTACATGCAGGGTTGTCACCCGGGGATCCCCAGGGCCCGAACCGGGGTAAGGGTTTCACCCCCGGACCCCCGCCGCGCCGGGGATTCCCGACCCTGCAGCCCGCCATTTGACCCCCGCCATTTGACCCCCGCCCCCGTCCCAACCCCAACACCCCCGTTTGACAGCCAACGCTCGAAAACAGAAAGAAGCACGGCTATACGACCAGGGTAAGTCGCCCGGGGGTCGCCTGCATCGAGCACCCGGTGCAGCCAAACAAAAATCAGCCCCTTTTGGGGAGGGGAGGGGGTGGAGGTTTTCTGAGCATGGCCAGAGGAGGCCGAATCCGGGCTTACAAATTGGTTTCCACCGGGCTGAAAGGGTTTAAAGAGGGGTGCCTTAGTCAGATCCGATTGTTTTCTTTTTTTATCTTCGATTCCATGAGAGATTCTGATGTGACACTCACCCAAAAGTCGTTTGAAACTTCACATTACAATATTGCGTAACATTTTTTCTCTCTGGATTTTTTTTATTCTTTTCTTTTTTTTTTGGGGGGGGGAGGGGAGGGAGGGGGGGCGCACCTGGGCTACCTGGAACCATGCTCGGGGTTCATGCCTCGCCCAGGCACCCGGACAAACAGCCTAAAACTTAATTTATTCACTCTATGAATATATTCATTGAAACTATTTTCAGCGCGTTTAAATTATTTCGGGGTGGCCAAACTTCCAAGGTTCGTCCCCCAGTGATCGAATGAATGGCCGAACATTTGGGGGTTGCGATAGACCGCACCAGAACCACCCCCCGTGGACGTTTGGGCCGGTAAAACTGGCTACCCTTGTTTTCCCGCATCGAAACATCTTTACGGATTTAATTTTCATCCTACTCTATAGACGGTAGAGAGGACGATAAGGTGGCCGCCACAGTACGTGACATTATCAACCATAGGTCCTCGGCAGACCACTCGCCAAATTCCAATACTTTGTACGTATCTGGACCAATTCCAGATTAGATGCATTCAGAATGTTGACATTTGACACGTAGTGCAGCAAGGCCCTCAGTCCCAACCACCCTCCGTTTGATCCGTCAACCGATTGGCCACCCAGCAGGGCAGAAGCCATTTCACATACACTTGCCACACCGTAAAGCAGGGGCAATTTCCCATAACATGTTTTTCCAAAATACTCTTAAACTGCCAGTACACAGCCCCAGCCTTGCTGAAAATGCAACTCGTCGCCTGAGAAAGTTTCGGAGGCTCGGCCTACCGGACCGCTATGGCTGGCGTCGACAGCCAAAAAAAAATGAAAAGGTGCGCAGCTGGCGGTTCGGAAAAGCTTGGCGTGAAGTAAGGCGGCTCCAGGCCCAGGTGTACTGCTGGTTTAAGATTTAAGAAACGAGAGGTGAGTCACGATCAACAAAAATTTGAACAGAAAATGTTGCTTCCGTCTGTTCTAAACGAACCTCTCTCTCTCTCTCTCTCTCTCTCTCTCTCTCTCTCTCTCTCTCTCTCTCTCTCTC